CCATATGCATTGTGATGATTTGAACATGCTATATTTTAGTATTCATTCAAGGATCATCTTGACAAAAAATAGTCAATTCAAAAATTGTTTGGCCATCTAAAATGGATAAACAAATACGGTTCGTTAGATAAAGTTGAATAAAAAGGTGTATAATACCATCAAATCATCAAGCATAAGTTACTGCAGTATATGTGTGTTTAGTAGAATATCCCATTGTTCTCCATAATACAAGCACTCGCATTTTTATCTTGTGTTTGGCCTGACTCATGTCGTATTACTTGTGCAGGAAACTAAGAAGAGAGAGGCGTTGGAGAAAATGGTTATAGAATTACAGATACTGCTGTTCAGGATGCAGCGGTTTGGGATCTTCTCGTTTATTTTGTTACCCAGAAATTTTGCTGGTGCCTCTGCTCCTTTATTCAGTATATCCAATGTCTTTTACTTGATATGCTTCGAGCTGCAGTTGGACATAAACCCTAGGCTACTTGTGAGTACCGAAACTAAAAATGTCTATATAACTGTGCGAAATATTTTGTTATTTACTAGGTTGTGAATCTGAATCATTGATTATAAGGTGAATCTTCTTAAGAATTTAAACTAATTATTGCCTGGAAAGATATATTCGATAGTTCTGTTTGCTTGACAAACTCATGTTCCTTGACTGTGAATCTAGAGCCAAGAGTTAGCATCGATCAAAGGGAGGAAAAATAAGCATATTATGTTACCATGTGATAAGAGATTTCTCAATATTATGTTCATAAACATCTTACGCACAGACAACATCTATATACGTATAAATATGTATATGCTCGTACATACATTACATAGATATGTGTACACCAGATATATAATACTTTTTGGTATTATTTGACGAGTAGCCTGCATTTGACTATGCAGGAGCATGACCTTCTGTTTTGGATTGAGCGACTTGCGACTGTGCTTATGTTTATGGAACCCTACAGAGGGATAATCGCATACGGTTTGTCAAGTCTTCTCTTTCTTTTTACCAACAGTTGTTACATTATTGCTCACTTCACCAACCCAAAAAAGAGGTCAACCCACACAAAGTCAGAAGAGACATCAGGCCAGAGAATACAAAAGCTAAGGCAGCAGAAGTTTAGCAACACTGCATATAAATTTGGAGTAAGTCGTGACCATTTTTCGATAATTAGACCAGTGTTGTAAAATTGTGAGAATGAATGCCCACGTGCTTTAAGTGAGGAAAACTTGAGAATAAGAGTGTAATTGTTGTTATGTGATGTTTTCAAAAGGGTAATAGTAGTGTAATTGTTGTTATGTGATGTTTTCAAAAATGGCAATCATTTCACTTTTTGGTTTGTCACGGATGTGGCTCTATGTAAAGAGCACTTTGTGCGCGATTACAATACACAGCAAAAAAAAAGAAGTGAAAACAATAATATCAGTAACCCTTCCTTCCTCTTTTTACCTGCAATCCTTTTGTGTTATAGTTACGAAATTAAACAGTGTGATATTTTGCACCCGCTTCTCTCATGTCCCTAGCAAAGGTTATCTCTTCAACTTTTGCCTATTTATAACAACCAATATAGCAATTACAATTGATATTACTGTTATAAGCTACTCAAAGCTCGTCTAGTATATATAGCAATTGAATCTATTTTGTTTTCAACACGTTTAATGTTTTTCTATCTTTTACAGGAAACTAGCACGGGTGAACAATCAAAGATAGAGAAAGCTAGAATGGAGGATTTTCCACAAACAGATAAGTTGGAAGTTGAACAAATAGCACCAAAAGAAGAAAATAATAAAAGGGTACACGATTAACTAATCCAACAATGACATATCAATACAATCATAAATTAGGTGTGCATTTTCAATTCAGAATTATTATTGGCACTCTAAAATAATCTTTATGTACCCATTACTTATTGCTCTTTACAAAGGAAAAATTAAATAGAGAGGAGTTCGTGGTGACCATTTTGAAATACCAATGCTCGGACAAATATAATATCGCTATTTTATTTATCAAAATGAGATTAGCACATTGTAGCATTTAAATAGAGAAATATAGCAATTGAATCTGTCTGTTTCTTACACGCTTGATTGTTTGCAGGAAACTAACAAGGCCGAGAAATCAGACAAAGAGATGGCAAAAGTTGGGGATGAACCAAAAGAAAATTTGGAAGTCCGAGAAGAATCACCAAAAGAAGAAAAAAGCAAATGGGAAGAGGATTTGGTGGAAGCTGATGACCAATTGAAGGAAAAGTCAGAAGTTGCAGAAGAGGAACCAAAAGAAGAAAATAACAGTTGGGAAGATGACCGGGGGGAAGCTGATGACCAATTGAAGGAAAAGTCAGAAGTTGCAGAAGAGGCACCAAAAGAACAAAATAACAGTTGGGAAGATGATTGTGGGGAAGCTGATGAGCAATTGAAAGAAAAGTTAGAAGTTGATCACCGACCAGCAGCAAAAGAAGAAGAAAATGGATGGGAAGATTGGCTTTTGCCAGAATTTGGAAGATTTGTCAACTGGGAAGATGTAAATATAGCTAATGATAACAGTAACGGGGGAGAAGAGTTGAGGCAAGCTGATGAAGCTTCTAGTTTCATTGACAACAGTAGCAAAGAGATTGAGGATAATTTGAAGGTCAAAACAGCCGAAAATGTAAGGATTGATAGTGAGGAAGTAGTTGCGGAAATTGAGGCTGAGAGATTGAAGGCTGAGAATGAAAATTTGAAGAGGGAGAAGAAAGCACTGGATGAAAAGTTGATTTCGGAGAGTCTTGTGTACGAAGATTCTCGCTGCGTGTGGGAAACACAAAATCAAAAGCTTAATGCAATGCTTCATGAAGCATATCTGGAATCCGAAGGTTTGGTTAAGGAGTTAGAGAATCACTGCAAGTTGGTGAAAGAAATGGTGACGAGGTGCGATAGTTATGAAGAAGATGGTAGGAGATGGGAGCAAGAGAAGAGAGAAATGTCGGCAAAACTTGAAGCTCTAACTGCAGCTTCTGAAAAGGATAAAAGTGTTGTGCAAAACTGCAAGGAAGATCTCAGAAAAGAATGGGAAGAAGAGAAAGCTTCACTCACTCAAAGGCTTTCTGCAGCATATTTTGCGTGCAATTACTATTATCGAGTCGTAAAAAACTATGAACAAACAAATCTCAGAGCTCAAACTCCAGCTTCCGAAAAAGACCAAGACGTTGCCCAAAACTGCACAGAAGATCATCAAATAAAATGGGAAGATGAGAAAACAGCACTCACTCAACAGCTTTCGGAAGCAAATTCTCTGTGCCAATACTATTATGACGTTGCATTGCATAATGCAGAAACAGCCCTCAAGTTGGAGGAAGAGAAAAACACTCGTTTGCGTGGCTGTGAAGAAAAACACCTCAGGCTAACGCAAAGGAACGCTGATCTTGCTAAAAATCTTCAGCATGAAACTGATTCGGCTAGGCGCTTCCGTAACCTTGTTTACAAGCTTGATGAGAAATGCTGGATGCTCGAGGATGAGAAAATAAATCTCACTGCAAAGCTTTGTGCTGCTACTGCTTCCTCTGAACTATATCGAAGCATGCTGCATGACAAAGGCTGTTAGAAAATTTGGTTTTTGTGACGAGTACAAGTTAGGTTTTTTGCTGGTTTGTAGTTTTTGATGCAATGATATTGTTTGCTTTAGGCATTTAGCAGACAGTCATGTGGACGTTTTAGGGGATGATTGAACATTTTAAATAGAATTCTTAAAGAGCTGATTCTCTTCCGAATTTTCATTTGTGAATTTGTGAAACACAGATGCATTCTGTTTCGGATTGAACGATACGTTAAACAGTTTTTTTTTTTTTTGGTACTCTATTGCTCCAAACAAACGACATACATAGCCAGGAAACATTACAGAGACTTGCGCACAAAACCGAATGACGCAAATGGGAAATGAACAATCAATAGCGCGATGCAGGGATGTTCGAAACAACTCTGGTGTATGAAGCTTTGGTTAGCAAAGTTAAAGAACAAATGCAAGTTAAAAGATGATATCCTCAAGACAAATGAAGCTGTAACTTCATCCCATTCCAATGGCAACTTCAGGAAACAGTTGTCAGAGCGTACATAAGCGTGATTGTGAAGAACTGCAAGAAACAAATTTGATTCCGATGTGACATATCAAGCCTTTCACTTGCTGCACTAACAATCACTCCGCATCCGAGTTGTTTATTAAGAAGACGCTAACACCAATAGTACTTCCCGTGTATCTTGAGCTGACAGCAATTGAGTGCTCTGTTCAGGAAATAAACATCTGGGATGGTTTCGGGTATCGAAAGTTAAGGACGACACACTCAATTGGTTACTGCTGCTGCTGAGAATCGAACCCTCACCAAAGTAAGAAGGGGATCATCAATCAGTTAGGTCTGAAGTACAGAAGAGAGCTCAAAAGTTGCACTAGATCTAACCACAGAGATCAAAGGGCTTAAAAATCAACGGCACTGAGTCGTCCACCTTCGGACAGAGGACCCGGTGCCACCTTCAAAAGACAAAGGGTAGGAATGGGAGCAGAAGAAGGAAAACAGTGATGTCAAGTTTGGTTTTGAAATGAACACATTTTGTTCTTTTCAAAACACACTCTGGTTTATGAATCTTCGGTTTGCAAAGCTAATGAACAAATCCTTGGTTTGCAAGGTTAAAGAACGAATGCAGGTTGAAAGACGTTAATACGATACCGTCAAGACAATGAAAAAACCCATCCCCGTTACAAATCTTAATGTTGCATACACAGCTTCAGAAAACGGTGATCAAAGCGTACTTTCGTGCGATTGTGAAGAACTGCAAGAAACAAATATCTTGTATGTGATCTGTCACACCTTTCGCTTACTGTTCCACTAAAATCACACCTCTCACTTATGCACTAACCAGACATTCATCTCAAACGTGTCGAAGAATCACAAATCGCATGTAAGACCTTTGCACACTTGCTACTGCGCATGAAGCATAGCAGGCACCAAATGATAAAAACAAAAGCAGGCTCCAACATATAGCAAAAGACCATAAATTAATAAAACCGTTTCATATTAAGATAATATAAGAGGTCTGTAGAAATCTCGGCCCCTCTAAAGACTAAAGACCACCTAGAAGCAAAATCACTAAACAAAAAACCGTTTAAATTTTGAGTAGCCATAAAGCATTAGCTCTCCTTCCAAAAACCCCCTTGAAGCAAAATATGAACGGCCCATCTAGCTATATCGACATCCCTATCATACTATCAACATTGTTGAGAAGGGGCCCTCCTACTTACTCAAAAGCCCACTGGTTCTCCCTGCGAACCTCTTCTTCCTCCTCAGGGGTGAAATCATTCTTGATGTTGAAAGTCTTGCGGATCTCTTCAGGTGTTTTCCCCTTGATCATGTCAGCAACGGTCTGGCAGGTCAGATCAAGCAGACTCTTGATGTTCAAATAGTTTGCAGCCTGAAAATTAACAACACAAAGATAGTAGGAGCAATTATTGTAAATACCATATCCTTTAGTCATTTAACATATTCACATCAGTTTAAATACAAGTTTACCAAACACTCTAGACACTATTTTTTTGTTAAAAGCACTTTTTGTTAGAAACACTTTAAAAAAATTTAAAAAAAAGGTTTACCATACACTCAACAATAGAAACAGTTTATTTTTTTTAAAGCACAGCAATACCAAACTAGCCCTAAAATTGATTAAGAATTGTAGCTGTAACAATCCCTAAAAAGGAAAATTAATGAAAAGAGTTTGAAAACTTTGAGTTTTAACGATAAGGACAAAATAAAAGGTAAAATGAATAGTACTAGGATTTACTTTTTAGTGTAAAAATGTGGTTTTTCATTAAAGCAAACAGTTTTTCGTTAAAGTTCCCTAAAATAAAAAGTATGAAAAGGCTTAGGATAATATCCATTCAACAATAGAAATAGGCAAAGCAATGAAACTTTAAAATTCAAGTTCCTGAAAGCCTAAAAGAATAGGTATTGATCGAACCCGGAAGAGTACATTATAGGAACCAACCAATGTGAGTGATCATTCGCATCCAAAGGCACACCACACATACCAAAATCCATATCATACAACACATTTAGAGAATTGTGAGATAATAAGCAATTGAGATTGCACCACAAAGTCCTATACATCACATACAGCAATTTAGAAAATTCTCCTAATTTCGCATAAATAAATCCAAAAGAAAATTCTACACTTAAATTCCAACAAGATATTCCACAGGAACCCAATTGTTTGTTCCCAAAAAAATCCATCTTTCCAACAATTTCACGCAAATTAATCCAATAGGCAAACCCTAACCTTAAAAATTTAGCAAAACATTAGAAATCGAAATTAAACTAAACCTATACAGAAACAAAAGAGCCCAAATTTTACAAATCGAACAAACAAATAATAACAAAGATTTGGGATCAAGATACTCACCAAGATCAGGTCAAAGAGAACATTCTGATCAGCCTTGATCTCGTTGACGAAGTCATCGTCAAACTTCTTGAGAGTGTTCTCGTCGCCAATCTTGCCGACGTCGGTGCTGTCGCCGTCCGTGCGACCCTCGACATGTTTCCGGCAGTACTCGATGACCTTGGCGAGGATGTGGCTGGTCACGTTGGGGAGAGGGATCGCATTGTCTGCGCAGTCATCCTCCACCATGTGCTTGATGGTCTGCGACTCCATAGCAACCGCCTCGTCGACCTCGAACGCCTCGCCGTCGGAGCTCTTCAGGGTGATCATCTTCTTCTCTGCGGCCATCGCGGTCTACGGTTTCGAAAGGATTGAGAACTCGAGAGCGGGATTTTAGGGTTTCAAAGTTGAATTGTGAATTGTGAAAAGGACGGGAATTGGGGAGGTTTTATAGGGCGCAGTAGGTGTTGCACACGGAACTACTTTGTTTATTTATTTTATTTTTATTTTTTTTGGATAAATTCGAATAGCGATTTGGACGGTCTTCACTCATTAATGGCGCGTTTACGTAAGGATAATCGAAATCAAGAAACGGAATTGAATTCCGATTACGGTATACTCCAGTGTTTACTAAATCTGGAAGAATCAAAATTTAGTGGGTCCCACACAAATTTTGGAATCCAATTCCAATATTTGGCTGATTTGGATTCCTAAGATAAAGGAGGTATTTGGATTCCAGATGGCTTGGGGAATCATAATGCTAACTTTTTTCCTTTTATGCCCTCACCTACTTTCATTATTTCCAAGATTATCCTTTTAACCCTAGACTATTATTTCCCTTTTCATGCAGCTCCGTTCTGGAACGGTTAGTTGATTAATTCAGTCGACCTAGAGTAAATTCAATTGATCTAAAGTAACTCTGTAAATACATGCAGAATCAGTTTGTTACTTCATGCAGAATCAGTTTGTTACTCAATGCATAATCAGTTTGTTACTTCGTGCAGAATCAGTTTGTTACTCAATGCAGAATCAGTTTGTTACTTCATGCAGAATCAGTTTGTTACTCAATGCAGAATCAGTTTGTTACTATTATATACTATATCAAATTTTATTAAAAAAAAGTATATAAAATATTTGATTTGGGACAAGGGCATTTTAGTAATCATACTGGTTTATTTCCCTTTTCATGCAGCTCCGTTCTGGAACGGTTAGTTGATTAATTCAGTCGACCTAGAGTAAATTCAATTGATCTAAAGTAACTCTGTAAATACATGCAGAATCATTTTGTTACTCAATGCAGAATCAGTTTGTTACTTCATGCAGAATCAGTTTGTTACTCAATGCAGAATCAGTTTGTTACTATTATATACTATATCAAATTTTATTAAAAAAAAAGTATATAAAATATTTGATTTGGGACAAGGGCATTTTAGTAATCATACTGGTTTATATTCCGATTCTGCTGAATTAGTAAACAGCTTTATGGAATTGTATTCCGATTCCAAACAGTTTTAGTAAACAATTTCAACAGGAATCTGATTCTGATTCCACCTCATTTCAATTTCTCCTCAATCAAATTCCTCCTCAATCCAATTCCTCTCAATTTGATTACGGATTAGTAAACGCGTCATGCGGAGACGCGACGTTGTGTTTTAGAAGGAAATTTTTATGGGAGACAGATTGTTTGCCTCCTGTTTGGGTGCCCTACAACATAACTATTTCTATTCAATAGTTAATTACTGTAATATAATTCATTCCGTTCAATTGGCGCCACTTAAGTGATTATTTTCTTTTCTCCACATCAATTACACAGGATGTTAGAGTTTTACTCTAAAGTCAATTTAATTTATAAAAATTAAAAATGAGTATTATAAGATTTGAATAATGTGGGATGTGTAGAAAATATAAGGTGTATGTTGGGAATGTGGGGTGTGAGGGTATTTTGGAAAATTATGTGGGATGTAGTAAGATAATTTTTAATTGGAAAAACAAATGTGAGGTATATTAAGTATGTGAGATTTATTCAACAATATGTGGGGTGTTAATATAATAAGCCTTTTTATATTTTCTTTTTGATTAAATTCTAGTCATTCGCGTTTTTGTGAAGGTTAATGTCAGGGAGACTAAATTTGGAGATTAAATTTACAAACTAAATGATGTGTTACTGTTGACCCCAAAAGCTACCAAGCCTACGTGGCGCGCAGGCCGAGTAACTAATAAGCTAACTAAGTTTTTCGGTTGATGTGGGGCGTGCCAACTCGTCGGCCGAACTCGGCCGAGGAGTAAAATATGTTGATGTTTGCGTTGGGTGCGCTGCTTACTTCTTGATCTTGCAACTGCGGCCGGGGAAGGAACAAATCTCAGCCTTTGGGTTCTAGAGCTTGAAGACAAGGCTACTAATTCTGCGAAGTTCACAAATCGTCAGCGTCGGATTCGATCACAGTGATTATATTCGTAAGAGTATAAGCACGCCAAATCGACACCAAAGTATAAGGGTACAGATACTCAAAACAAATATATGTCTTGATGGTGAATGTGGTTCGGCTGTCAGAATGCTGAACTCGAAAGCTTACTAGTATCCAATCATAAAACAACTCGGCATTCAATGTGACAAGCCCAGTAATTCGTAACATCTCACTTCGCTGAGAAGGTTAATGAGATGACATCTGCCAATAAGGATTCGAAAATCTTTCTCGACCGAGACTTAGATAGATAACCAATCGGCCTTGACGCAGTGCTGTTTATCCAAACTGAAGATGCTTCGAGGTTGACTGATTTTGCGGCTCCAGTGCTGTTTATCCAAACTGAAGATGTCGCTGGTTGCCTTCACAGTGCTGTTTATCCAAACTGAAGATGCGTTGCAAAAAAGGAAAATAAAAATCTCAAGGTTGTTGAGAGGTTTCGCGTAAAGTGAGAGTTTGCGCAGGGCAGTTTGTGTGTTAAATTGGAGGGGGCTTTGATCGATGTCCTCCCTCTTCTATTTATAGTAGACAACCTGCATTGAATCACAATCATTCTTGGATTAGAACTTCTTTTCCCGATCCAACTTTATCTCGGTCAGTCCTACTCCTACTAGGACTTTGAACTCAACTCGTTATCAGGCCGTATTCAATTTCAAACTCCAACGTCCCTATCCTGTCGAAACTCCTTCTTGTAATAAGACTCACTCACATCCCACAAACTCCCAATGGGATACGACCATCTTTGACTACGCGGCCCATGAGCTAGATAACCCCCAACGACTCCTAAGCACGGCTTCTAGGCCGAGAACAATTATAAACTCGGCCCAAACCAATATTTTTGGACCCAAACATTGCCCCTTCGCTTTTGAGGTCGTCGACCCGTACTCCTTGGTTCGAGCCTCGACCTTAATGAAGTGAAATCGTCCTAAAGACAATCATTAAATCCTCTTGAGAATTACCACCATGCACATTTATGAGACATAACCCTACGATCTCGATTTCCCAACTGTTTTGCCACATGTCAGCCCCCTGGTTAACCTAGCAGCCTATCAATCATGATCCTCGAAAACATGCGACCGCCAAAACGTCTTTCTCGCACTAAACCTGCCGCAACACGCCATCGTGCGTCCTCAAACCGTGAAAACCTCGATCTTTTCGCCTTAATCTCTAAGCATGTATAATGATTAGTAACTCTCTCGCTCGATTCTACCTTTGATTTTGAAAATCAAACGTTTGACCTTCCGTCCCAAATGCCTATACAAATAGGTTGATGTCATTGTCGAAAAACATTAAACACTACTTGAAAAATTTAGGTAAACCGAACCCAACCTAAGTAAACCCGAACCCGATTAAACCCGAGCCCGAATGAACCCTATTACAACCCAACCCGAACCCAAACCTGAATTGTAAAAGTTGGGTTAGGATTGGGTTAACCTTCCAACTCGCCCAAGTTGCACCCTTAAATAGCATTGATCTAAGTTTTATCCGATAGAGAACATGGTTTGTGTTAATTTTACATATATAAAATAAATGGGTAAACAGTTACCCGTTTATAACCACGGTTAATACCCATAACCACCCATTTAAATTTTACTGGTAAACGGTTATACCCATAACCGTTTATTTATCTAAATGGTTACCTATAACCGTAACTATGAAGTTTAAATGGGCGGGTAACCGATGGTATTTTACCCATCCCTACAGCTGAGTGACCTTTGAATAACATCCAACGGGTCTGAGCTTTTACTCTCCCACACCACCGTATTCCGTTCTCTTTACAAGGCCCATATTAACATCAGGACCACATTAAAATCAACCTTCTTATTCTTCCACACTTTATATAACCAGTCCTTCATAGGGTCCATAGAGTGCAGTACCATACCCAACCCCACCGGAGCAGTAAACCACACCGCTCAGGAGGAATAACAATCACGAAAAACATGTTGGGCTGTCTCCTGGGGAGCATCACACTTAGAACGCACTGTCTCGAGACGAACTCCAAGTCTTTGAAGGTTCACTAGTGTTGGGAGCATATCAGTACACATTATCCACCCTAGATTTTTCATCTTATGAGGCACATTTGCCTTCCAAATGGCTTACCACATCCCCGTATAACCATTCCATATGCTCGACGAAGAAGAAGCTTGTAGAGCCGAGGCGCTCCACTCCGCTTAGCCAACTTATATGCACTTTTAACGGAGAATAGTCATTTTTTGTCGTAATGCCACATTAGCCTATCCTTTGGCCGTTGTAGACTGATTGGTATTGCACAAATATAATTTGGGGGGGGGGGGTGTGCTATCCACACACCCCATTTTACTTATTACACATCCTTTGTTAATTTCTATCCATTGATTTTCTTCAATTCATCCGATCTGACGGCCTAAAATTAGAAGGGTGTGAAAAGTAAAATAGGGTGTGTGAATATCACACCCCTATAATGGACCTCCTCATTAGAGAACAATTAGTGTAACGCCTCAACCTCTCAAGACATAGACTCAACATATATCAAGGCCTTAACCAACAACCCTTCAAGATGTGGTGGGATCGATGACAACACCTGAAAAGTTGAAAGCCTAGGCAGCCACCTATCTCCCTACACTCGCACCTATTCCCCAATACCAATGGCCCATCAAGACCTTTGCTCCAACACCCCTCTAGCTCGCACAATGCTCTTCTATGCATAGGATGAGTGAGGGAGGGCATCGACATTCCAAAAATTATCGTCGGGTAATACTTAGCCTTCAACACTCTTCCAACAAGAGAGTCAAGGTTGTGTAGAAGTCTTCATCCTTGTTTAGCAAGAAGCGCTAAGTTAAAAGCATATAAATCAAGGAAATCCGACCCATTTTCACTCTTTGGCCGACACATCTTCTCCTAAGACATCCAATGGATCTTTCGAGTCTCCACATTGCTACTCCACCAAAATGGGGCCATCAAATATTGCAGTTCCTCACAGAAAGTCTTGGGGAGCAAAAAAATCTACATAGCATATGCAGGGAGTGCTTGAGTGGTTACCTTAATCAAGAACACCCTATCCGCACTACTCAATAACTTACCTTTCTAACCATGTAGCCTCTGCGTGACCTTCTCTCTTTGATAAAAGAGAATGTCTGTTTCTTATTCTTCCCTACAAAGGTTGGAAGACCCAAATACCTCTCATGCCTCTCGACACACTGTACTCCTAAAAAAGAAGTTAACTGGACATGTAAATGCATGGCAATGTTCGTACTAAACGCAATGTTACTCTTAGCAAAATTAATGGCTTGGCCCAAGGCCTGAGAATAAACATACAATACATGTTGAATGACACTACAATCCTCCATTGTGGCCGAGGCAAAAAAGAAACTATCATATGCAAATAACAAATGATGGAGGCATAGTGTCGTATCTACGATCTTAATCTCATGAAAACTCCCTTCTCGCTCATTTTGTGCAATTAGTCCGGACAACCCTTCCACACACAAAAGGAAGAGATAAGGTGAAAGTGGATTACCTTGTCGTAATCCTCTCGACGGAATCAAATACCTTTTTGGTTCACTGTTAATCTGGAACAAGTACGACACTGAAAACACACATGTCATCACCAATGAGATTCATAGTTCGACAAATCCCATACGTCGCATCATTGTTTCCAGAAAGCACCACTCCACCCTATCATAAGCTTTACTCAAATCCAACTTGAGTGCAAAATAACCCTCCCTCCCACTCCCTTGTTATGAAGGAAATGACCCACTTCGGCTGCCAATAATGAATTATCGGAAATCAAACATCCTGACATGAAATCACTTTGGAAAGAGAAATCAAAGAAGTCAAAATTGGCTTTAAACGATTCGTCAAGACCTTAGCATAGATTTATAAAGAACATTATAGAGACTTATTGGACGAAGCTGAGACATATCATGGGGCTCCTTCACCTTTGGAATGAGAACCACATGGGTAAAACAGACTTCCTTCAAAAACCTACCAAATTCAAAGAAGGATCTTACAACATCCACTACCTCACCCCCAACAATATGCCAAAACTTTTAGTAAAAAAGTGGTGACATCCATAACCGCATTCTGTAGCACACATTGGGTCATAATTTTTTTTTGAAAATACTGTAGCACAGTCATCTCTATCCCCGTAGGTGAACCGTGCCACATTCCAGCCTCATCTCTGAGCCCTTTGATATTATTTTTTCGTTTCCAATTCAAAGCTTTCCCATGGAACCATTTCGAATTGTGATCACCTTCTTTCAACCAAGTGGTCCTTGAGTGTTGTCTCTAATATGTCTATTCCCAGGATAACAAGCTATCTAATCTTTCCAGTAACACCGTATTCATTGCATCCCTGAAGATAGCCATCTGTTTTCTCCCCTTCCCCCCCCCCCCCGGCGCGCGCGCGTGTGCATATTACCACCCAATTACTTGGTCTAACTAAGCACCTCGTTGAAATCCTTGACGCATAACCATGGAATAGTATAATGATTGCTTAACTCGGCGAGCAGAGCCCATGATTTCCATCATTCCGTAGTTATTGAGCAGCCGTAGAAACCCATAAACCGCCATACCATACTATCAGGGAAAGTTACTTGTACATTAATGACGAAGATAGCACTGCCACCTTCAACTCGTCACACCAAGGAAGACACAAACCTCTAAACCTCCCTCGACTCACCATAAACGCACAATCAAAACCCACCATGCGCCGAACCGATTCCATCTTCCTTACATCACTTTTTGGTTCACACAAAAACACCATTTAGAGACGTTGTTGTTGAATAATATCCAACAAAGCTTGAACTGCAGATGACTTCCCCAACCCTCTATAGTTCCAACTTAGGAGATTCATTGTGATCGGTGGAGTTGCTCCCTGGCAACGCCCACCGATATACTAGAGCAAACTTTCTTAAGAGAAGATAAGCCATCCTCTCTAGCTAGGCTTAACACTTCCTTGCTCCTTTTGCTTCCCACCTTCTCCAGCCCTCTTCTTCGCGCCCTTATTGCCCTTACATTTGGAAAGCTTATACGCCCAGAAATAGACAATAAAAGCCTCCCATTAGACTTCCTACGGGCATGAACTCCTCCAGGTGACCGGTACCTTACATCAGTACCATTACCCACAATAAAAGGAGTGATTTTTCAATGTGACCGGTATACGGGGTGGTACACCGCGTATCACTATACAAATGGTGAGATATGTGTGCTAAAAAGTTAATAACTTAAAAAATAAAATTTCCCACCACTTCTATTAAAACACGTGGTGTACCACTTGTGTTCCAGTTATAATGAAAATTTTCAAAGCCCAAAAGGATTAGACCCGCCAGGGGATGGGGGCCAATCGGGTTTAGGGTATAAAGAATTCTAAAAAAATGCATCATGTAATTGACTATAAAGAATTATTCACATCTATGACAAATTTTTGCCCCACATATATAGTTATATGTCGTAGGTTTATAGGCACATCGTTACCGTAGTGTTTGGTGTTAAAAAAAAATTATTATGCATACAAGGTTTATTCATATCTTTATATCAATCATGAAATGTCACAATAACGATGTATTTGTGTTATGTAAATCCTCCTATAAAACACCTTGTTGTTATAGACTAAAGGTCATTCGGTGTTATCATGGGAAACATGTACAGATTTTTTATGAAAAATTCAAGTGCTTTACAAAGAACTCAATAATTATTGTATTTTAAATTAATAATAGAATAGAATAGACATGTCAAACAAATTGAAAAAATTCAGGCGGAGAATATAACTAGCATTCTTTTAATTGCAATCGAGTCTTAAAATATAGAACTAGCCCTTTAATTAAACAAAATAAAATAAGAGAATTGCTATTGGTATTTTAAAATTTTTACATTTCAAATTTTCTAAAATTAAAAAAAAATACACTTATAAGCGGTATATAATGAGATTTATAAAGCGCTAATAACCTTTCTTAAAATAAAATATTTCTCTTGCAAATTACAATAATCGAACCCGGTGGCAAAAGCAGTGGTCTGATCCGAAGTTGGTGTGTATCCGAGTGATCGACCTCCATACTTCATTTCAATTAGGGTTTTTGCTTGTCGAGAGAGACAGAGAGAGAAAGGGGAATTGGAATTCTTAGGGTTAGGGCCTGCTGTGATTACAATTCGATCTCCGCCCTGAGTTTGAAAGGAGGTCCCCCAGAAGGTATCGATTCGCTTCTTGTTCCTTACCATTTCCGCGAGCAAATTCTAACCTTTTATTCTCTAATTGCTATCTTATACCTCAATTTAGCTAATAAAGGTGATTAGTGTGTGTACATATGCAATTAGTGCTTTCTTTTGATGATTTGGGCGCAGGGGCAAACATTTATTGGGTAGTCCAATGCATTTCATTTAATTTCAAGTAAATAAAGGAAGTTCTCCAATGGCCAAGAAATCTGTAGCTCAACGAAGGCTAACGAAACTCGATGTCTATCTTTATATACCCAATATAATTGGTGAGTTTTTACTCACTTAGCTTGTATCATTTGTTTGAAACTACATTGTGAAGTTAGCTAGAAATGGGTTTTTTTGTTTTGTGAATGATTTTGTGCTTACTGGGAATGCAGGGTACATAAGGGTTCTTATGAACTGTTTTGCCTTTGCCCAATGCTTCTCCAACAAGCAGCTTTTCTCCGTTCTCTATTTCATCAGGTGAGAATTGGTGCTTATGAAGAATTCAGTTATGTGGTGTTTGGATTGTGGGTTTAGAAAAAGAGGTTTGCATTTGAAAGTCTTTTTTTTTTTGGTTTGTCTTTTGTTTTTTTTTCTTAAGGTCGATGGAGTCGGCGTGTGAATTTGATTCTCGAAATAGGGTAGGGCTGGTTTCAAATACTAAAGCAAAAATGAGTTATTTCAATTGTACCTCTCAATTTCTGAATTTTAAAGCATTATTTTCAATCCACAGCAAGACGTGTCAAAAACTTCTTTTTTTTCCTCAAAATATTATGCAAACAGAGTTTGAACTGACTCATCTAATTGAAGCATCTCAATTCAAGCTAACAATCCAAATGCAACCTTCGTTTTTGAGCTGTATTGTTTTTTCATCGTGTCTATGTTGGTTATAATATATGATTTTTTTTGCTGTTTCAGCTTTGTCTGTGATGGCATTGATGGTTGGTGTGCTCGCAAATTCAACCAAGGTATGATATTTTATTTATCTTGTGATTTTGTCTTTTACAGGAGGGGAGTGTGTTGTGCATATACACACTTGTATAAACAAATTGTTGTGCTCTTATATACTGAGGGTTTGGTCGTGTATCTTTTCAGAGTGATTATCATTAATAGAATTCACTCGATACAAATATATCAAAAATCATATAGAGGCTCATACTTTTCATCGTACATACCATCTCTGACTTGAATTACTTTCCAATTACACTGTTATTTAGAGCTGGATAGTATATGTATGAACACATTTCTATTAATAGGTACCAAACATAATGAATTATTTGTTAGTGGCCTCCTTGTATTTGAGATTGCAGCATACCATTTGTGGAACCCTTCATGTTCTAGTAAATTATCACATAACTGAAGTCCTGTCTTTAATTTATTTCTGTGTCCTGCCTGATTGACAGTAAGGATGAGTTCTTTTGCTAGCATATATGATCCAATTATTTTTTTGCCTATTATGAGCAGAAATGGTTAAGATTATAAGAATATACTTAAATTTATCATTTGATTTCATTTTTTTCTCTTCCTGGTTCAGTTTCGACTTTTGGAGCTGTTTTGGACATGGTAACAGACAGGTGATCTTTGATCTCTCTCTCTCTCTCTCTCTCTCTCTCTCTCCCCCCCTCTCTCTCACACACACGGGCACACACAAAGACATGCAAGCGCACAACAAACTCATACTAATGTCGAGTTTTTTGCTCAAATGATTTCGTATTAACCATCACTCATATTGATTACGACGTCTTTGTATCTCAGGATAAGCACTGCGTGTCTATTGGTAGTACTTTCACAAGTATACCGGTAAGATATTTTATTTATAGTCTGCATGTTGTGTTTAGCTAGACTGCATGCTTATCTTAGCTTCTGGGGGCTTTCAATGCAGGCCTGGCTTGGTTTTCCTTTCATTACTTGCCTTAGATATTGCCAGCCACTGGCTGCAGATGTACAGGTTAGATTCTTTTCTTTTTTATTTATTAAGTTTATCTATGGTATGAGTAGTATTTGCTTATTTGATCCTTGACAAGAATTGCTTTTGCTCAAAATTTATTACACTTTGTTGCAGTACTTTCCTGTTAGGCAAGGCTAGTCACAAAGATGTGAAAGACAGCACTAATTGGCTTTTTAAAGCATACTACGGAAACCGGATGTTTATGGCTTACTGTTGTGTGGCATGTGAGGTAACTGTAATTTCGTCTGTGTATCTCCGTATGGAAACTTCTCGAAAGATGTTGCTACTCTTCTCTTAACTTCTCGAAAGATGTTGCTACTCTTCTCTTACTTTGACTGTTTACTCTGCAGGTGCTTTATATAATTCTATTTCTTCTTGCAAAGAACGAAACTGAGAATTTGATTGCTGTAAGTCTTTTAGTTTTGTGAGGATTTAAAGACGATATTCCCAGGTTACTTTGGTTTCTGAAATCTTCCTCTTTCAGGTTTTAATGGGTCTTGCAAAGCATATTACACCTCTTTCTGTTCTAGTTGGTTTGAGTTTATTTGGATGGGCAGTCAAGCAAGCTGTTAATCTTATACAGGTAATGAGTAGTACTTCATATTATATGGGCATTATAATTTCCCGAAGTTCACCATACTACTCATACATCCTCCACTTACGTCACAGAAATTTGGAATGCTAAACTTAATCTGTATCAGTGATAATTAATTTTGCAAGTGAACTGATTGGTTTCGGAGTTAACTGGAAAGAGAAGGTTATAGGGATATTTGATGGGTGCAAGTACTGCTAGTGATAGTTCGTCATTGACCCAAAGGTTTCACAACTTTTATTTGAGATTGATACACAAATGCTTTAGCGACTAAAGACAGATTTCCAAAGTTTAAGTATGGTATAGTATCGAAAAACCTACTAGTTTTAGTCACTCATACACGAGTTTTCTTGGTAGTTTGTCTTCCAAATATTTGTTTAAGTTAACATCTATCTACTTATTCAGCGTTTTCAAGTTCATGTCATCTAATTCTTCTAATCTGTTCGACCCACAACAAGAATAATAAAAAAGAGAGTGAATATATGCTTCCTATTTTTGAATTTCATTTCTTGGTTTCAGTTGAAGACAGCAGCAGATGTGTGCGTGCTTCATGACATCAACAAAAAGCAAAGCCCCTAATGCACATCAACTTCTGTGAACCAGAGGCGCATTCTACATCCAGGTTCCTACTCAGTTCATGTCGAAATATGTTACCGTAGCGGATGAGAATGCTTTTGTAATTTCTTTTCTTTTGTTGATCTGTATTTCTCCCCCAAGTTAACAACACAAAATTAGACAAATTTGACATCTTTTCGTAACATTAAATGAAAAGAAAAGAAAAAAAAAAAAAAAAAGGTTAACAAGGCCATTTCCTATTTCCTATGTTTCATTCTCCTAATTGGTTGCATGATGTGAATCCACTCTGCAAACTATTTTGTAATTGCAACGATGATTATGAAAGGATTTGAATTTTGATACGCATTGCCGGCACCTTGCACTAACCTAACATGTTGGGAAAATAAGTAGGGGCGGGCATGATTCGGTTTGACTCGGTTCAAGCACTAATTTGTCAACCGAACCAGAGCCATCTTCATGGTTTGGTTTTGACAAAAATAGTGGTGACAACCAAACCAAACCAGCCATCTTAAATCCCAATGGCCGTCTGTTTCTCACCTTCGTCGGCCATCCGATGCAGACTAAGTTACACGTCAAGACATTGGGTGACACGTTAGATGGGATGAAAAACGCGTTAGTAGGGGTTAAGTGAAACAATTTGAGTTCCAAGGAGCGTAGCAAAAACTAACGAAAACACGACATAGAATTTATAATCCCATAATTGATAACTGATATGAACAACTGGTGCAATAAAATAGAACAATTTGTTTAGACCAAGGTTAACCATTTAACGTATGGGAAACGAAAACCTATATACGAATTACATTTGTAGAAGGGTTGCCCTCTATAATTAAACTGGAAAAAGCTTTCAAAACGAAATACGACGGTACTCTCACTCAGAAAAGGTGCTGCGCAGACGAATCTTTGTTCTAAAGAAATCGAATAATCCTTCTAAGATCTTTATCTAACACCTGCGAAGAAGCCTCAAGACGTTTGTCTTTACCGGGTAAAAAAATCTAATACAGGCTATACCCGAAGAACTGGCTGATGATGATGGCGAACCCAAGAGCAATTGCAACCAGGGAAGAAGCCCATGTCAGTTTCTCTGTAATTCTGGGAACTCGATCCTTTAATGCCCGACTACATGAACCTAGAAAGACAGTATAGCTTCCCATTGCAACTACGGTCCCAACTAAAAACATAACCAGGAATGCAGCGCCAGCTACTCGAGATGGCAAAGCGAGGGCTGGCAAGACCATCATCAATGCATCTGGCTGCAGCCCGTGGACAATTCCAGTGGCAAAAGTAGCAAAACCAATCTTCTTCTTTCCGACTGTAGGGTTATCTAGAGACTCATATACACTAACATCACACTCGCCATTCTCTAAGGCAACACAAGGAGTAGGGATTTCTGAAGCTTCCTTAATACCCATACCACCAATAACTAGTAGGGTAAGCCCCACAACTCTTGTGCCCCAAGTTCGGATAATCTCAATATGAAGCCTATCCTTTAGTAAAAGAAATATCAAGCCAAAGATAACCTGGCCAGCGTCATGGCCACATCCCCAGAGGGCTCCGACTAGAGCACTTTCTATGCGGGTACGTCCAATTGAGAGTGGAGCCAAAGCTGCTAGGTGGTCTGGCCCCGATAATGTGTGTAAGCAACCAGCAAAGAAACCAGTCCATGCACTACTAAGCAACTCTGTCTGGATCAGTCTTCCCCCAATAGCAGCCGCTGGGCTACCAGTGTTGGTTGCAGTTGGAAAGGATGCAAAAGCCGCTGGTGCAAAAGCTGGTTGTATTAAGATCAAAACAAGTGCAGAAAGCGCAACAAATGCTCCAGTGGTGATGGCCTGGACACGTTAGGAATATAAACTTAAGTTATCTGCTCAAAATAAATGGATTAATGGTCTTATGTGAGGGGTGAAAGGTAGCTGGGGAGTTGCCCTCCCCCTACACTTTCTGAAGTAAATATCAGTAAAACTTAATACTGTTACGCAGAAAGTAGTAACAGCAGATATAATTGTAAACCAAACAGAAAGATGTCATGGACAATAACTAAGGATTTGTGTAGACAGCATCTCCTATGTTCCTACTCCAATCTATTTTTTTATATCATACGGACTCCCTGTTAAAATTCAACAGGCACACAGGCAGTCGAAAAGAGAGAATCCACTCGAATTGCTACCAGCTTTGACATTATCTCTTCTGAGCTATTGTGTGTGTGTGTAAAGATTCATCCAATTTCAAGATCCTTGATCACAAATAGCAAATTGTAGAAAATATGAAACATGAACACAGTTGCGCTCAAATTTTCTCACTTTACCCTAAACAACCATTTGAAAACTTAAAAATCATAATGCACCCTTGCAGTCTTACTACAAGGGATAGAATACTTCAGAATACACAAGTGTTAACATCCACAAATCGGTAAATTACATACACCCCCGAAATAACCATTGAACTTGGTTCACATTTACCTTAAAGAAAAGGTCTGAGACCAGCAGAAACACCTAGACCTGTACTAGAGTGAACATTGCTAATATAATGTGTGTTTAAGTTTTGACTCCATTGAAGCATCAAATGAAGCTACCTATACCAATCTGACTGGCCGACATTTATGGGTTTCCTTAATTTGTTCCTTTGTTCTGGTACCCCATTTGGTGCTAGTAATTAGGTGAGACAAATTTCAGCCCTAGGTCTTCAGTACGATGCTGATTAAAGCTATGCTCAGTTTTCGGAAAGCACAGAGATTTAGCGGCTTTATGTTGGAATAACTGGATATTTGTACTGATCTCAAGTCAGAGAAGAGGGCTTATCTACAAAAGGACTTGTGTACATACCACCATTTCATTCTCCAACCGCCTCGAAAATGAAAGACCAGGTATTGAGAGGACAAAACTTGGGTGCAATCTCTTTAAGGACCATAAAATTAAATTAATCGATAATATAAACTTTCGCAATTAGAACCACCAAAGGCAACCGATTCGGTCACAAAAAGTTTTGTAAGAGAGATAGTATAACAAATGAGGCAACTGTTTCAATCATCAATCTCATATAATTAGCCTCAATACTCTAAATTACAAAAATAATCGCAGTTTTAAAGGGCAAACAGAAACTGCATTGGATCGCAAAACGACTTAGTAGAAAATAATCGAATATTTCATCAACCCATCGAAACAAATGTTCAGATTTTCAAATTCACCGGGGCAATTGCAGCGCAGGAAAGACACTTTATAACATGATTATAGCAACAACAGCAACAAATAAACCCCACACAAATAGAAATAGAAAAATTCAAAATTATATCTTATGATTGATTTCTTTCATTTGAAACAAGAGGTCAACGTACCTTGCGCAGCTTAGAATCCCTGGTTGCGATCTGATTGAGAATCTGGGATTTTGGCTCCGACCCATTTGGCGACCCGGCGCGGTTCGACGAGAGAGACGGCAGAATGTTCGACGGCGCCGATGAAGGAGACCCAGAAGAAAATGGAGATGGGTTTTGATGTTTGCAGGAAACCAAGCGGACCCGTCTGAGATTGGGCAGTTGTGAAGCGGGAAAACCGAGTTTGGCCGAGTCAATACGGGCGAGTCGACTGAGGAAAGGAGAGGGTTTTAGATGGAGTTTCAAAGGGGTTGGGGGTGAAGAGGACAGAAGCCTTTCCATGGCTTCTCTCTCCCTCTATCTCTCTCTCTCTGCCTCTTTCTAATTCTGTGTAAAGGTTTAGATTTTGGACGCAAACAATTTGCAGAAAGAGAGGGGGGGGAGAGAGATGGGATGTGGTGATGAAGTACAAGTGAGGATAAACTCTAGCTTGGACTCAAAAAAGAACTCTGGCTGAGAAGTGAGATCCCATAAGCTTAAACTCCGATTTCGACGTTCATAAGATAAGTATGATTAGATCAAAATATGGCTTTTAGAGAACCAACCTAGTCTAGTCTGGGTGGTATTTTTTTTCATTTGTAAATGAGAAATTTTAGATTCGTCTTATGTTCGAATCTCGTGGATGACAAATTCAATAGCAAATTACGTTGTCCATTGTGTTGTTTAACCGAACTTTTCATTTTTTTAGTGTAAAATATTTTTATACTTTAAAACAAAAAAAAAGGAAAGCAAATGTGAGTAAGTTGTTATCGTTTGGTTACTCTTTTGAAAGAAAATTGTAAGACAAATCTTATGGCCACATTTTGTCCACAATACTCGGGAGTTTGAAGAAATAGAAATACTAGTAGCCGTCACGTTACCGTATTTCTTCCCATCACTCTCCACTTTCTTCAAAGATTATCATTCATCATTCACCGTTGATGCTTGTCATGGTCAAGAGCTCACCATGCCGTCCATTGCACATATTTAGTAGCTTTCCCACTCACCACTTACGAAACAATTATAACCTATTTAAAAAGATATATAGTTTTCTTGTAAATAGTCTCTTAGATTGACCGAGTCATCTTATTAATCTTTTGCTTTAAAAAAAATTAAGAATAACATTAATTGATTTCGAAAGTGAGAAACGCAGATAAGAGGTTTGGTCGATCTTCGAAACTATTTGTGATATAAATCTTTTTGTTAATCATTTTTAGAATGCGAGCATCAAATTAAAAATCTATGGACAAGAATGAATAAATTCAATAAATTTTAAGTATTATATTAAATTTAATTCGATCACGCATGATAATGAGACATAATATTTCAATAATTTAGCTCTCATAAACTGAGACGATGCTAAAATGTGAGTATTCGAGTAGAAATCAATATTTTGCTTGAAGAATAACTAGTTGGCAGGTAAATAAGTTGGTCCGAGTTTGTTGGAGGATGATGAAATTTGGACAAAGGATAAGAGCTTCACATTACAAATGGATGAAGTCACTCAAAAGCACGTTAGCCACGCACTCCTACGGATTCATGCCTCATGCGTGCATGTGCACACCACACGCACTTACAGAACCAATTTGGGCCACTAACGCAAAGAAGTTGCACTCAACTCCAACATTGTGAGTAAAGCCTAATGTGGTTGTGGCTTCCTACCCACCTTGTGTTTATGTTTGCTTCATAAAGCCAGACACCAAGTGAAATTTGTTAAAATAAGAAATTTGTTAGTATTTTAAGAATGAATTGAGGATCCTTTCCGGATCCTTTTATGAGGATCTCGGGGATCCTCCAATCATATACGTTCATCGTACATCGTACGGTCAGTTTTCGTTAGGTACTGTTTATTTTTAATTTTAAATAAAAAGATTTACAACGATTTTTTATCGCACAATATACGATAAACGTATGTGATTGGAGGATCTCCGGATCCTCACAAAGAAGATCCAGAGAATCCTCATTCTTTAAGAATATCCATCTCTTTTCTTTCAAGATTGGATTTGCCATGTTTTGCTTCATTTGCTTTCATTTTTTGTCCAAAAAAAGGTAACCCCAACCCAAGTGTTGTCAAGTTTGGATTTGGGCCTAAAAGTCTACTTTCAACAAACACAAGTTTGATAACTAGAGATGACTAAATTTCCAACAACGCCCATTAGGCCCACTTTCACAAGTATCTTCTTCATTCTATACATTTTACATTAACTTGTACCAACTTTACTTTAATGAAATGAACATTGGAATATTTTTGACTTCCTCTACGTTTATTAACACGTATGAAATAAAAAAGTGCGCCCGTCCGGTAGTCCAATTGGTAATTTTATACCTGAAAACTATAAATTAGATTGCTTAGGCGAGTAAAAGAGTATTATCAATAACATACATTATCTCATACTGAATCAAAGCTAAAGGTTAAGTAAATTTCAACTATACAAAAAATAGTCCCTTATAAAATTGTCCATGGTGGTCCATTGGTCCCTTTCCAAATCACCTATACAAACAAATGCAAAAGAACAACGAGCTGATGGTCCAGTGGTAAATGACGGATTATAAAACTTCTTTAAAATAAAAAACTGGGCCAAATTGGATTGTTCATCCCTGTGGTCATAGGACACTTGCATGATGACCCCCGTGGTGAAAAAAATTAGGAATTAAACCCATGTGGTCTGGAATGTTACCAAATTTAGTCCAAAAGTAAGATTTCTGTTAAAGGACTGTTAAAAGTTGGGGTAAAACTGTATTTTCAGTTCCAATTGACATTGAATTGGGGCTTTTTTTATTTAAAAAATTAAGCATTATTTTTTTTGTTAATTGTTATAAAAAAAATTATTTATTTTAAATGTCAATTGAAACTGAAAATACAGTTTTACCCATACTTTTAACAGTCATTTAACAGAAATCTTACTTTTGAACTAAATTTGCTAACATTCTAGACCACATGGGTTTAATTGCTAGTTTTTTCACCACGGAGGTCATCATGCAAGTTTCCTATGACCACGGGGATGAATAATCCAATTTGGCCTTAAAAACTGGAGGTTTCGAGTTCGAAACTCGCTGCTAGTGTGGAAGCCAGATTTGTGGCCAGAATGAGGCTGAAATGCCTCTGTGAGTCTTCCCGGGCCCTCGAAATGGGTGGATAACCATGGTTTGCCATCAATTGTCTCCCTTTTAAAAACAAAAACAAAAAAAAAAAAAATGGCAAAAGGGTTATGTGTCATCCAACCCAATAAGCCATGTCACCACCGTTATCTTATTCACAATGAGAGGTCCAAGTCCTCCAAGCATGAAAGACTCATCCACCGCACCTCCACCTCTCAATTTAAAACACACATCCTATCTGTACAGAAAATATTCACAATAATCCACCAAGCCACCATCTAAACCTGCACCCTTCAGATCCATAGCTCCACTCAACCACATATCAACAGTCAACAGTCTCAGTCAATCTTACGAGTGAAGACATACATCTTATTGTGCACCACACCGCACCATATCATCACAGTTATTAGAACCACAAGTTTTTAAAGACACAGCTCTCAGTGCTTCCACAGTCAGTATACTGCATGCCCTTTGAGCTGCTGACAAAGATTTTCAATGGCAAAGCCAGTTTCAATTGAAGTGTGGAATCCCAATGGAAAATACAGAGTTGTCAGCACAAAACCCATGCCTGGAACTCGCTGGATCAATCTCTTAATTGAGCAAGATTGCAGAGTCGAAGTAATATTTCCTATTTTTTTTCATTCCCCACTTTGTTTATGTGTGTGTGTGTGTGTGTGTGTGTGTGTGTATTGGATTTTGGATCACTTTTTTGTGAATTTGATGAGAAAACGTTTAATGATTGGAATTGTTTAGATATGCACCCAGAAGAAAACAATTCTTTCTGTTGAGGATATCATTGCTCTGATTGGAGATAAGTGTGATGGAGTTATTGGGCAGGTAAAATTTTAGACTCTTCTTTCTTCTTCTTTTTGATTTCTTATTATAGTAATTAGTGTAGTACCCTTCGGAGTTGTTAATGTTTGCGTTGAGTCGAGGGCTTCCTTCGTTTTTTTATTTATTTTTTTGACAAATACTCTTAACCAACTGAGGTACAAGCCGCTTGCGTCAAGAGTTTCTGTCTTCAAAATAGTGTTTTTAACTATGAGAGAGAGTTTCGAGGGACTTATATGTGAATTTCCCTTTTTATTATTCAAAGTTGTTGAGTGGGGGTTGTGGTTTTGATTTTCAGTTGACAGAAGACTGGGGAGAGACTTTGTTCTCAGCACTGAGCAGAGCAGGAGGCAAAGCCTTCAGCAACATGGCTGTTGGCTACAACAATGTGGATGTTGATGCTGCTAACAAGTATGGAGTTGCTGTTGGGAACACACCTGTAAGTTTTTCACTCTTACTCTCTATTTTCCCGCCTTTTTCACATGTAAGTCTTTGATAATGTCAAAATTAAAGAAAAATATTTCAAGCACAATACTTTGGAAAAACACCATGTTGACTTTTCAACGGTAGATTTGGCAGCACCAAAGTAATTTCGCACTAAGAATCAATTAAAACATGACAAGTGAATCGAAACCAACATGCTTGCAGATATGGTCACTAGTGCCTTTATGGTTTTCTTTTCTGTTGGGAAAATTTGGGATATTGAAATGAATTTGTTGCTTGTATGGTTAGGGAGTACTTACAGAAACTACAGCAGAGCTGGCCGCTTCACTTTCTTTAACTGCCGCTAGAAGAATAGTTGAAGCGGATGAGTTTATGAGGGCCGGCTTATACGATGGATGGCTTCCTAATCTGTATGACTACCTTGTTTACCGTTAACCATCAATTCATCATTTGTCCTTTCATGTTACATAAACTACAACTTAATTTGTTTCTTTTACTATGGCAGATTTGTGGGAAACTTGCTCAAAGGGCAAACTGTCGGTGTGATTGGAGCTGGCCGTATAGGTTCTGCATATGCCAGAATGATGGTATTTTTCCTGGTCCAAAATGTTGAATCTTATGTTTGGTTCATCTGATTTTGGGTACACAATAACGGCTTAGTCTAGTGATTGGCATGCATAAACTTGTTTTATGCACCTTGAAGCAGGATTTTTACAAAATTAATGGACTTACTTTACAGGAATTTTAATAAGAATTTGGGATGATATAACTTACCAGGAACACGAAAGATTTTGTAAACAGTTGCTAACTGTCCAAGTTCTACTGCATTGTTCCCTTCTATAATGTAGGCTTGGGGGAATGCTTCATATACGTTCAGTTGTGTAACAGATAGATCAACCATTTTGAATACATACTATGTATAAATCACAGAACTAACCATTATTTGAATTTTTCAACTTTCTTTTCCTTTACCCCTTGATCGTTTACAACTTATTGCTGATGATCTTAATAAGTGATTCCAATTAATGAATACCCGCTAATGCGACTGAAATTACTATTGATTTCTGACAGGTTGAAGGTTTCAAGATGAACCTAATTTACTATGATCTGTACCAGGCTACCCGGCTAGAAAAGTTTGTTACAGGCACGTCCAGTTGGTTTATTGCATAAATCTTCTTGCTCTACACTTTGCTGATACCTGTATGTTCCATGTTCCAGCTTACGGTCAGTTCCTAAAAGCTAATGGTGAACAGCCAGTGACTTGGAAAAGAGCATCAAGCATGGAGGAGGTGCTCCGAGAAGCAGATGTGGTAGGGCTCTCGCTCTCCTCACCCCTCTTTTTTCGTTTCTTCTTACTCCCTTTATAATGGTGTGGTTTTTTATTCTTATTCTAGATAAGCCTTCACCCAATTCTGGATAAAACCACTTATCATCTAGTCAACAAAGACAGTCTGGCAATTATGAAGAAGGTGAAGTTCGAAATAACATTTCTTATTTGTATAATGCACATACGTATTATGTTACGTATACACCTGGAATGTATTTACTTGATGAATAATGTGTCGGATATATCTACAGGAAGCAGTCCTTATAAACTGTAGCAGAGGGCCTGTGATTGATGAAGTGGCTCTTGTAGAACATTTGAAACAAAACCCTATGTTTCGAGTTGGCCTGGATGTCTTTGAGGTAAAAAAGCGCACCTAATTCCTTGTCGAATTCCAATCTTCTTTTGGACACCATCTACGATATTTAAGTGGTTTGTATATGGTGTTGTATCAGGATGAGCCTTACATGAAACCTGGTCTTGCTGACTTGAAGAATGCTGTTGTGGTACCTCACATTGCTTCTGCTTCGAAGGTAATTACTGTCCATATTGTTTATGTTCGAACACTTTTAAGGAAGGAGCTTTCTATTTGAGAACATAAAGATTTGTTGCCTTATCAAGTGAGTACTTAGAATAACTCAGATCAGCGAGTAACCGTGTCCCTTTCCGGTCTTTGTAGTGGACTCGTGAAGGAATGGCAACACTAGCTGCCCTCAATGTCCTGGTATGTCACCAATGTAACTATCGGAAAAAGGCAGAAAAGAAATTGAATAGAATCGCAGCATTTGAAATAGCTCACATCATTCAAAAATGGCTTCAAAATTTTGTCTGCAGCTTTGGCACTAAAATACTGACATGCCTTACATTATTATGATTCAGGGAAAAATTAAAGGATACCCTGTTTGGAAGAATCCAAACCAGGTTGAACCATTTCTCAACGAGAATGCTCCGCCACCTGCTGCCAGTCCTAGCATTGTCAACTCAAAGGCCTTAGGTAATAAGCCTTCAAAACTTTGCCAACATCATGCAGGAAAATCATCTGTGCTGAGACTTGTGTTCCAATGCAGGTTTACCAGTTTCAAGGCTGTGAGCATCAATGCAAATGATTACATTCAGGGCCTTCCTGGTGCAAACAGAGTAACTCATACGGAAGGAAAAATCCAGGCAGTGTCTTGCGAGCGTACAATGCGGAAGAATGCAAACGATAGTGTATATTTTAAGGATGGATGTGGAGAAACATGTATCTGTTATATGTTTGTGCTATAAACTACTGGCTTCATATTAATCCTGCAATGTATGAGATGTTATTAATGAAACCTTTCATCTACAATTTCAAAATCCTTTCATTCTACTTGTGGCATTTGTATTGCCATTCAAGAACAACATTAGGCTTTCGGCTTGCTGGAGATGAGGATCTTCGTGACTAGAATCATCCGAATCTGAGAAGCGTCAGCTTCGAAGAAACTGAGGCCTTCTGGCGGTGCCCTGGTCTGGTCGTATCGTGTGATCATATGTCACTCAGCCCAAGAAAACCATAATCACCTCTGCGTTGAATCTTCTCTTTATGGAATTGTGACGATACATGTGGCCTTTATTCCATTGAGCGCTATGTGACATTGGGTTTTCTTGGATATAACTTCGGTCACACAAATTAAACTTTCTGTCTTTTTTAATCCTCTGAGCTTCTTCGCCGTCCTGCAAAGGGTTATGACACTAACACTTCGTAAGGATTGTTAAGTTTTCACAAAACTCCATTATGTTTGAAACATTACACTAACACCCCTTAGGATTTAATTTACTATCAAGTAATCCCTTAATTAAAAAAATCTAGAGTAGTGATACGTCCATCCTCTAGTCTTATTTTCCCACTCATTTTTTAATGAAAGTTTTAGTACTAAATTTAACCTTATGTAAAAGGACTTCAAGAGCCCTATTAAGAAAAAAGAAAAAAAAGAATAGAAAAAAAAATTAAAATGAGAAACGAATCAAGCTACCCAACAACCTTCCCATTTTCTCTCTTCATCCCGCGCCCCTTTCTAACTCTTTCATCCCCTTCCATCTTCTATCTCTTCCGTCCACCCCACCCTCCCCAATTCCGTCTCTTATTTTCTCTCTACTTTTCAACCCTTAATTCTAAATCAGAATTCGAGAATGAATGTGTCTATGAATCTTATATCCATATCTGGTAGGCGGAGAAAGAGAGAGATAGAGATGAACAGAGAAAGGAGAAAGAAAAAAAAGGAATGTAACTTTCCCAACGGCAAAGAGAAAAAGAGATGTCACCGTCATCTGTGGTGCTTGATTGTGGTTGTTTTTTGCGAGGATGGGAGAGACGTTCGTCGCTGTTCCATTTTCTTAAAATCTCTAATATTCAATCATTCTGTATATTTATTTTTAGGGTGAATTGTCAATTTAGTTCTTGAATTATCATCTGAGTGAAAATTAGGTCCCTAAACTATTTTTTCAAAAAAGTCAATCATTGAATTATAAAAATCTGCCAACTACATCCATAATATTAAATTTGAAGCTACCATATTCCATTTTCCGTCAATTTAAGTCACATTACTTGCATGTGATACATATTGGACGGCAGATTGGTAATTTTTCATAAAGAGATAGTGAATGGAGTTAACTTTGAAGGGTAAATTAGACGCTAGATTCAATATAAAATGTTAAGGGCTTATAGGCAGTATTACACTCTAAAGTGTGTCAAATGACTTAAGTTGTCGAAAAATTGGATAAAATAGCTTTGAATATAAAGTAGGGATGAAATTAGCAAATTTTAATGAACTTAAGGACTTATTTTACCGAAAAAATAATTTAAGGACCTAATTTTTATTGAGATGATAGTTCATGGACTAAATCAGCACTTCACCCTTATTTTTATTTAGAACTTAAAATTGTAAGAGTTATTTTTAGGAATATAAGTGAGCGGGATGAGAGTGTTTGGTCTTTTAAACTTTTTATGGTGAGTGAAAATATAACGTGGGTAAGAAAATAAAATTATAGGATAGGCATAGTAGCACTCAAAATATAATAATAAATAGATAACTTTACCCTAATAATAAATAAATAGATAACTTTGAAACTAATAAACAAAGGCTTTATAATTATACACTAAAAAGTTATAAAACATTAAGGGGGTGTTTATTTGCCTTATTTAGCTCTCACTGGACTAGCTTAGATTAAAAATGAGTGCAATCCGTGTTTGTTCATTGGCGGGACTAAGTTTAATGGGACAAAGGAGGACTCGCCTCGACTAAATCCCTCACTAGGAAGTCTTAGAGAGGCCTCCCCAAAAACAACGAGATTGCTAGTCCCGTCTCCCTCATTTGCAAGCAGCGTCCCACGAACCCACATGAGCAGCATCAACCCCCCCTTCTCCAGTGACCAAACCAAAAATGGTTGTCATTGATCTCCATCGTCCCGAAAACCCAGCGCCCTTTTAGCATCTGGGTCGGTGATTTGGGGGCTTTTGCCATATGGGTCGACCTGAACGACGGCAAAGACGAGTCTTTTGCTACCTCTGCTTCGCCTTACCCCTCCCATCTCCTTCTTCCCTGCTTTCCACAACCGAAAACCCAGAAGACGGAACCCAGAAAGCCCAAAAGGAGATGGAGAGACAGAGAGGGAGGAGAGAGTAACTTTGGGGACGATTTTGTAGAAAATGGTTTTGAAGTGTTGTGCAGAAAAAAATGGAATTGAACTTTGAAGCATTTGAAGGAAAAAATATGGGAGGAAAGGAAATAATGGGCGATGAAACCAAAGAGGAAGAAAGTACTCTCTAGAGAGAGGTAGAACCATACAGTGTTTAGAATTTTTTAGAAGGAAAAGGTTGAATTCATAGTAAAATATTATTAGATATATATATTAAATATTAAATATTATAATTTATTAATTATTCTGTTTTTACACTGCATAAAAAACTTCACTAACCTAGTCTGGTGTAGTCTATTTAATCCCCGAAGCTAGTCCAGTCTGAGATAGTCAGGTACAACAAACAAACAAACAAACGTACCCTAAACACTACAAAGAAGGACAAGTTGAAGGCCATCGCATCTCCTTTCTCTCGCTATATTTTTTCCACGCCTGTCTTGCGACTCCTTCCCCAACTACTATGTATTCTACGCAGCCTCGAGACGGCATCGTTCTCCACCTCCATGCACATGCCCTCCCACAACTACTTCGTCGCCCTCTAATTCAACCGATGGCAGCACCCGGACTCTCAAGACGACACCGATCACAACATCAACCCGAGAGTTTTGACATTGTAATCTTAATTCTACTCTTGATTTCTCGTGGCTGTTCGAAGACGATGCTCCCTCCCAAGACGACACGGATCGTCCTAATTTTTCATTTGGGTGAATACAAAGCCAAATATCTTCTTCTTAATCATTCATAGGCATAAATTGCTATCGTCGTCATCCATGAAAGCTGAATCTCGAATTCAATACTAAACCTATACAGAGCGTAGGGGCACCAAATCCATCTTAGGTTGGACAAGACAACATCGACAAAAACCAAATTTATGGGCTTGGCGAGATCAACGACTTGCCGTCTCCCCTACTGACGTTTTGATTTTTAATTTTTGTATTTTTTTAATATTTAATGTTTTAATTTGATATTCTTTTTCTACATATTTATAAAGATTTTTTTTTATTCAACACAAAATAGAGCTTTTCTTTAATCATAGGGTGAAATAGGAAGTTTATAAGCAAATTTTTTTACTCAAGGGGTTATATGAAAGGAAATTAAAACCTTATGGGGTTTAGTATAATGTCTCAAACGTTACGAAGTTTTGTGAAAACTCGATAAACCATATGGGGTATTAAACGTTGACACCCTTAATGTTTTAAACGACTTTCATATAACCTCTTATGTCTAAGTTAGTTTCTCTGAAAATAGAGAATTTAGGGCTTGATTGCGTAGCAAATCGTACCAGAATTTGATGGAGAATGGGGTACTTATAGAGCATATGTCGACCACATGTGCAGGGTTTGGACATGTGTCAGCATCTGATTGACCAAGGTGAGTCATCCGTTGGATGGATGAGGAAAAAATTATCCTGAAATTATTTAATAAATATTATCTTGTGGGTTATCTTATAATATCCTTGATTGGATATGATTGTGATTTTTTGCTCAATGGAGTTGATGTTCAATTAGGAAGGTATAAAGATAAGATTTAGTAATTAATCCTATCTTTAATACATTTGATTTTTCTTCTTGCCATGGGCATGACTGCTTGCTAAGGTTGTAGTCAGTTGCTCAAGTCTTCAAGAAGGTTGAACTGTGCGTGGAGCAAATGTGGCTTGGCCAATTTTTTGAGACTCATCACTTAGGCTTAAAAGTCCACGTATCAGCTCTAAGATTTTATGTATTAATTTGGCTCCACACAAGGTATATCATAGAAAAAAAATACCATGGACAAAAATTCCTATGAAAGTAATGCATGATAGTAAAACAAGAAAGGTTCTCACGCTCATAAATTACAATGACCAAGATGACATAAAACAAGGGAATTCTTATTGGCACTCCAAAAATCTCATTCTACACTCTAGATTTTCTATATTTAGAAAGAAAAATACATTTATGAGGAGAGTTAAATGAGATTTTTGAAGTGACAATAACACTTTCCTAAAACAATTGTATTAATCTAAGCAAAAAAAAGAAGATATAAAAGCATGTCATGGAAGCTCTTTCGAAAACATATAATATAATAGTTTGGAAAGAAAAGCCCACTCACAAACATGTCACTGGGGATCCAAGGGATATTGTAATCGTGTCCTTTTATCATACATCGTGCGGTCATAAATCATTTAAAATTTAAAATTAAATATAAATAGTACCTAACGAAAACTGACCGCACGATGTACGATGAACAGACACAATTATAAGATCCCCCAGATCCTTTTCCATTACAATAAAGCATCGCCAATACCAAAGCAATGAGTAAACATCATGCACTCGTCTGAGCTTATAAAGAACTGCAACATTACAGAAGAATAAAATCGTGTTATACGAAGATCATGCGAGAACAAAAATCTCAAATCATATATTGGGATCGTGCTGGAGATCTCATCACATAATCACCACCACAAGCATAGAACACCAAGTGAAGTAGCTCTAGCAAATCAAACAACTCCACCCTTCACACAGACCCAAAGAGATGTAGCACACTAAACCAAAATTAAAATGAAGCAACTCTCCTATGTAGAGCAATCAAATTAGCAAGCTCTATTAAGGAGAAATCAAAACCAAGCTCCAAGACATCTCTTAGAAATTATTAAACAAAAAAACAAAACAACATGATAAAACCATGTTGGCGCTCCACACCCTCCGAACATCCGAG